TGTTGCACTTTTCCTGCCACTGCTGCTGTCCATCATTTCGGCTCTCTGTCCTTGACAAAATGTCCTTGGCAGACAGAAGCTGGGAAGTTAAGGCAGCCATTTTGAGTCCATAAAAGTGTGCTGGACCGAAAGGCATTATTCCTTTTGTGGGGAAGGTTCTATTCTCCACACCACCCTTGCCTCAAAATCCGCTGTGCAAGTCCCCCTGAAGTTACTCTTCCCACATAGCTTTGAGCACTTGCCTTTAGGCTTGGATGGCAGTGTGCATCTTTGTTTTGCTATTGAAATAAATTGTAGGGGAGACACTTCCAAATTAAGGGTTGTGTACAAGATCGGCCCCTGAGGCCAAGCAGGAAAGGATACAAACCAGTTCAGGCACTAGGCTTCAGTCAGTCTGGCTATAATCCCATTGCTTGGCTCTGTCCTCAGTGCTTCACCCTTAGTGAAGGACCACACCTCAGTCCCACATCAGGACAGGCTTGTAGAGAAACAGCAGTTGACTTCAGGGCAAGATGCCAGTCAGTGCTAATAAAGGAGAAAGGAGTGTTCCAAGATCCCTTCTCCCACATGCCAGTAAAGATGTACTTGGAATTCATTTATCTAGATATATTTGCAAAATCAGGCTCCCACTGCATGCACTTGCTCCTCATTATCTCAAGACTCCAACTCCAGTTGGTGGGATTGATGCCGGGTATGCAGAAATGGAATGGCAGTGCCACAGGGAATGTTGTCTCCAACTAGTTAGGCTTATGGATGTGACATTCTCAGAGGGTTAGAGAAGCAATCTGAGATCTCAATATATTCTTAACTCCTGTTTCAATTCTGCCAGGCAGGCAGAAAGTTTTGAATGCTTTTCACATAGGCACAGCTTGGGGAGTCAGAGGGAAAGAAGTTTCATTCTTTAAAATCTTCTCCATCCTGTAGCCTCTCCTCTCAGCAAATATTTAAAATTTAGGCACAAATTCTGCAATCTTATCCTCAAAACAGGGTCATGTGCCTAACACGTGAGGCTCTGCACAGGGCTTATATTGTCTATGTTGCAGAATAGGAATTGTTCAAGGAAAAGAGCATAAAAAATGTTACCATATGTGCTTAGTATGTGGATTTTCAGTGGTTCTTATTTGGTTAAACCCAGTCTAGTTTTCTGTAGAATACAGAATACAGCATACAGAATACAGCACCAGAAGTGAGACAATTTTTCCAGCCAAGACTGTGTTGCTGATAAACAATAAGAACAATGTTACTTCTGCAATAGTAATTGGTATTCTTGATTTGCTTGGTCTTTAAAATGGCTTGAACTTGACTCTACACACCCTGAGTATAAGGCCAGTATGTAAGTTTAGCACCAAATAACCCTGAAAGTTAAATTATAGGAAGGATAAAAAAATATAATGAGGCTACGGGAGCAGCTACCAGTCATCCTACAGTATGCAGAAATGGCAACTCTAGTAATTAAAAAATCACAGCACTGGTTTACAAACTGAAAAATAGAAAATCTTTTGTTTTCAAGGTTTCTGTTTGTAATCACCAACTGCCTAAAGGTATTTTAAAATTATTTTGGTGATAGTTGAGAATATTGCATCATAATTACAAAACCTAGAGATTTAATGGGAGGAGCTGAGCTGAGCTGCAGTGAAGCTCCAGCTCTATACATTGGAGCTGGCTAGGTCTGGCTGCAAGGCAGTGTCTGTGAGCCCCAGTGGGTGAGGTGAGAAAAGGGCTGATCAAGGAACCTGCCCTGGAGAAAGCAAACACATCACAAGCCTGTGCTTAAACAAAAAAACAGAAGCCACAAACCTCGACAGAAAACTTGTAAATTGGCTCAATAGAAAGATATGCAATAATAATAATCATATTTGAGCAGAAAAAGGACACCTTGTGTCCTAAAACAGCTCACGGGAACATCTTCAGAAATGCTGACAGTCAGTTTGCTTATCGTGGACAAGCTTTACCCAACTTCTAAAGACTGAACTGCAAGAGAAGGGGTCTTGCTGTATCCACTCCAGCTGCCCCCAGCAGAGGTTGGTATTTGTGACAGAAGATACTCATTTCCAGCATAAAAAGAACAATTTTATGATCTTGTAACTGCTGTGTAGCTATGTTAATGTGTATATAGTAAGCAGATAAACCAGTTTTGCTACACATAAGTCAAACTATATCTGGCTTCTCTGGTCTTGGATCCTGTCTTAACTTATCTCTGTCAGAGTAGAAAGTGCATTACTTTTGTTTTCCACAAACCACCCCTTTCTTTGGTATCACTTACAAAGGTGTTTTTTTAGTGTTATTTATGATGCCTTACTTTCATCAAGTCCCCTTTAGGTCTACAAATGTCCACTTCGGGTAATTTTTGGGCTCTCAGTTACAACTCCTAATGCTTCAATGATGCAGCTCAAGCTAACTTTGTAGCCACTACTGTTGTATGCTGAGTAATGCCTGCTAATTAATTAACTGGACCACAAGCATCCCATAACAGTGGCTGAAATTAATGCCAACATTTGATATCCAGCTTTGGAAGTGCTAACCCATCTTTCTGACATAATAATAAATGAATGGATTCAGGCTATTGTCACCATCTTGTCAGGTTCAAAAGAAGAATTCTGCCTGTGGTAATTCCAATTCTTCTCCCTAAAAGCTGTAACTTGGTAGCTAGTGCCAATGCTACTGACTTGCCCTCTTCATAAATCTCCCTTTTTTTAAGGTTTCCTTTATAAGCAGATGGGCTGACAGGCAAAGAACTCTTACATCAATGACAGGAGGTAAAATACCAGTACTATTTTCTGGAGAAGCTGGCAACTGAATATTAACTTTAAAAATGCCTTTAAAAATCATCAGTCATGGCCCATGTGCTTCTCTGTACCTTTGAGGATGTTGTATGCACTCTTTGAACAATCAGCTAGCATTTTGTTAATCATTAATGAAGTTAGGGCCTTCCTGACTTGTATCTTCTCAAAAACCTGTCCAGTTGAACTTAAAGCACGTTAACTGCGTGCTCAAAATACGTTTTACAGTCTCAGTGCTTTTCTGTAGTTTGCTCACTGGGAGTATCGTTTTAATGAAAACTCCCATGGAATTATTTAACAATCCTCTGAATTATTAACATTTGAGGTTTTTCTTAGAATCCTGCTTTACATGAAGTCATGGGTTACTTAACCTATGAGCATTTCCTCCCTGGACTAAGTATTTTATGTCCAGATGATAGGGTTAAAATCTAAAGCTCTGGCAGCTCCAGTTCTTGCTTGCATCCCTCCTAGTTTTCTCCAGCTGCCAGCTCATTATAATAAAAAAGAATTATTTATTTAAAAGCTCAGCTGCCTCTACGATCCCTTCCTTAGGTAATACAAAATAATAAATTAAAATACTTCAATATAAAATCAAGATACTTTAGTACTTTTTACAAAATAGAAATTCATACCCCAGGAAGACCAATGTTGTGCTACTTGAATGCACCTGGATTTAACTTTGCTTGGCCTTCTGAAGCACAGAATGGCAGCCTTAATGCAACCTGAAAACTTACACAGAATGGTCTTTGGGTGCTGTACAATGGGCCAAGAAAGAAGACGAGACAGAAAGAGAGGAAATTAATACTAAGTGAAGAAACATTTTTGCAGGTACTGTACTTTTCACCCTCCCACAGGTGGGTGCAGTTTAACCTGCAGGTGCCACGAGCCCTTCCTGCTTGCTCCGTGTCCACCTGCAGCAGCTTCCCTTTGGCCATTAGGTGACAGGGAGGCTCCGAGTTCCTCTGAGCTCCAGCCCTTTCTGGGCTAGTCCTGCCTGCAGGCGCCGTGTCAGCCATCACCTCTGGGAACACTTCTGTTTTCAGAAGCTGGAGCCCTCGCGTCCAGGGTGCAGCGGGGCGGCTTTGGTTCCTCCCATGCAGCAGCACAGGCCGGGCAGCGCGCTGGGCACACAGGGCGAGCAACGTTCCTGCCGCCGCGCCGGCAGGTGCTGCTTCGTGCTTTCA